ATTCTGTGCTCCTCTGTCATTCTACCTTTCAGACTCTCATTCATGCCACCTGCCTCCCCATCTACACCTCATCATCTCTCCAGTCACTAGTATCTAGGCCCCAGGAGGTCCTGTCCTACTTCCTACCATTGTTGGACTCCACTCTGCTGCGTAGCTTTATCACAGTCTAATTATCAAATAGTTTATTACCCAAACTCATTGTTCCTTTAAAAAAATAGTTTTAAGTTATTTCAAAACATCCTATTTATTCATTGTTTAAGTCCACAAATAATCAAACATTAGCGATAACTAATCTCCAATATACACCAATCCAACTTTTTCCAGTTCTGTACTGATGATATTGGCACTTTGGCTTCAGGTATCTGCTGATACCAAATACTGAAATCATACCACAAATAAATTAATAAGCCTAATTTATCACTGTTCTCATTAGTCGTTTTTTTATGATAAGCAACAGACTCATTTAACACCTCTTTGTAAATTAGCAGTTTAAAACCTAATATAGAATGCAGAAAAAATCACTAAAAAGTCGAAATAAATTTGTCCCAATTTCAGCCTCTACTTATCTCAGTTTGAGAGTTTTTAGTGTGCAGCTCTTCACATCTAAGAAAGACAATGGCTAACTGAGTTGACAAAAGAGAGAAAGGAAAACACTGTTGGTGCTTTTCATTTGTGTCAATGCACTTTGCAGTTCATTCAAAACTACTTTAAACATGCAAAAACAAGCTGTAAGCCTAGCAGGTGTGAAAGACCTGCAAACTTGAAAAACGGGCAGTTAAAAAAAGCAAACGAATTCAAAGACAAAAAAACATAACAAAACATTTGTCAAATTTGAAAGCAAGGGCGTAGATTTGGCATGGACGGAAGGGACACGTCCCCACCAATATCCAGCGATTACTGAATCGTCCCCACCAATAATTTGATCTCTTCGAGTAAAGAAAAACAAAACCTATTGAAAAAAAGAAAAACGATCTGTCAACGTCTCGTTCACCTGACGGTGCAGAAAGAGTTAAATTACGTTCTCTACTGGAGTCCTACCTCATGTGACAAATATGGCCAATGTGATTGGCTGTGCTTTTCAGGGAGCTCTGTTTAGTTTTATCAGCTGCAAGCCTGCGCTGCCAGGACCTGCAAGGAGGAGAGGAGGACGGCAGCAACAAGGAAGAAGCTGGATATAAGAGAGTGTTTCAAAGAAACCTGTAAGTCACTTAAAGTTAAGTTCACTCATAAAATGTGTCCGTCATAATAACGTTACAGGCTATGCTATAGGCTATGGCCCACATCAGTCTAAAATTGTATGTAACCACGAATAACGTGTTTTGGAAACTAACTGCACAACAGGCATCACTATTAGTTATTTCAGTCTCCCAGAGTAGCATTTCTAATTTTGATTGAAACTGTCAGAGAAAACGGCAGCCTCGAGCGAGCCAGGATATTAGTTTACAGAGGCTGTTAACATTATATGTCTAACGTTAAAATGTTGGTGACACAATAATTTCATCCTAATGGCACTGACGTATTCATAGGGTTAATTTTTGAGACAAAATATCATGAGGTAGTTATGATTTTGCAAATATTCCACCTTGTAGTGCAGTTTGCCCAAATTGTTTTAAAAATGCACTCACCCTACAAACATTACAGATGTTTGACTCATCAGCATGGTGTGTCTAAAATGTTGCATAATTTTGCTGAGAGATCTGTTACTTTGTGGTAATCTTAGATGAGTAGTTTTATGGACAAAAACCACCAGGTCATTCAGTGTTCCCTTAGTGCTAATGTATAAGAGATGTTGGTGTACTATAACTGAAGTAATGTTGTTAAGTCCTTAAAGTCATATTCTTTTATTGTCATGACTCTATTTTTATTTTTGTATGATACTTGATTTGTCTGGAATATGGCTGAAGTAAACTAAAGCCTAAAATACTTAGTCATTTGTTTAATAGTAATTTATCATTATATAATTCACATATAAAACTATGAATTTTAATTTTAAATGGTTTAAAAGCATGTAGAATAACATATGTAAGCAAGTATATTTCTCCTTTTTTATCAAGAAGCAAAAACAAAAAGGAAGAAAAAAAAAGAATCAGGGCAGGGTTCGGTGGTTGAATCATCCGTCCCCACCAATGGCAAAACCAAATCTACACCTTTGTTTGAAAGGCTCAAAAGAAATGACAAGCACATCCGTGGCCAGGTGAGGCCAGAACCCTGAGACTCAATGACACATTAAGCAGATAAAAGAAGAGTTGTACTTGCATTAGCTGTTTAATTAAACTCTCAAAAGGAAGTCCAAAGAGATCTAAAAGGAGGCCTTTATTATGCTGAAAAACCAAAATAAACCTGTCAATCTATTGGGTTCTCAAAAATAACAGTAAACAGGCTAAACAGTTAATACTTTTGTTAAGCCTCTTGAACTAAAATGGAAAATCTGTAAATAATAATAATAATAATAACAACAACAACAATATAAGAACAGATATAAGTTAAAGTGCTTCTTATCTTGATGGCCTGAATGTATTACTTTAGTGAGTGAGGGTTTATAACCGTCCTGCAATCAACCCTAACTTCATGAATGTTGTGATGTTCAGTATTTGCACAAACCACCAAAATGAGTAATACAGAGAGGTATATTAAGGCTAACTTCACTGATGTGAATAAGACAGGAAAAACACTAAGCAAACACAGGTATAGCTGAACAGCTTCAACACCTGCGAGACAACATTTGGGCATCATAAAAATTAAAGGTTATTTTATTAGCATGTCCTGGTAACTGGCAGCCTATGAAAATGATTATTTTTCCTTTTGCCTCCTTGACTGTTAACAGTTGTTAGACAAACATAATAGACTTGCACCTAAACCACCAGACACCCTTGCAGGTATACTGTTAGAGATTGTAGTTCATCCATTTATTGATTTACTCTATCAGCTTCCCATTCACCCATCCAATATAATCCCATCATCCCTTCACCAATCAGACCATCCGCCCATATTCTCTTTACACGCACCTCAACCAGAAGCTGCCTTCCAAGGTCAGGATTACAACTACAGGAAAATGGAGGCACCAGCACTTAATTCAGAATTCATCTAACATGTGTTGCACTCATTTGTGTATTGATATTGCGCACAACAATAAACATCATTAGCAGTTTTAGTATATGTTCGTAGCTTGTTAAAATAAAAGGTGGCTTTGTTCTAAAATGACTGGTGACCACACCTAATCTGTTTCTGTTGGCCAAATGATGCCAAATGATGATGAGACAGAATCCCCACCAGTGATGGGAATAACGGCGTTACAAGTAACGGCGTTACTTTTTTCAGTAACGAGTAATCTAACTAATTACTATTTCTATCGTTACAACGGCGTTACCGTTACTAACAAGAAAATGCGGTGCGGTCGCGTTACTATTTTTCAACAAACAGACGGTTGAAACTGTCTTCAGCTTACCGCACCTTATATCAGTTGCATGGAAGTAGCTGTCCATGTAAGTAATCTGGGCACTACAGCTTTAAGCAGCTGCGCGTGGTCCCGCAGATGGCAATCACTTTCTGCCCGACGATCACTTTTTTGCACCACACCTGGAGCTCAGGGGGGCAAAACAATCGCATGAGTGCTGCTGCTTGACTGAGGAAGAATAAAGTAGTCGTGGTAAGCCAATCACATGACCCGTTCAAGATGACAAAGCAACAAGGTGATATATACCAGTTTTTAAATTGTGTAAAACTAGAGTCATGATAAACAATATATACGAGTGTTTTTGTCCTGAATAATTTCGTCATGTTTACTGTTTAAGGACATCACTAGCAAGCACTCTCTGCATATGCCCCAAAAAAACAACAAAAAAAAAATACACCATGTCAACCAATAAAAAAATAATATGGCAACATGACATTTGGTTGTTTAGGAAGAGGGGGAAGATTGAGGAGTGACCACGAGAGAGAGAGAAAGAAAGACAGCAGAAAAAGAGAGAGAGAGAGTTTTGAGATGTGAGAGATTTGTGACGTTTAGCGTGTTTGGAGTGTGTAGTTAATGTGTTGTCTTGTGTAGTTAGTGTGTAGTGTTGTGGATAGTTTTGTGTTGTGTGTCAGAACAATGAGGCGACTGCTGTCTCCAGATAAAAAACAGGATGAGTGACACACCTGCTGCTGTCAGACCTGCAGGTATCAGGTTGTGATGTTCTCCTTTATAGTGGACAGAAATTATTTTTTTGGGAGTGGCACAAATAATTTAGGTAGCATCCTATTGAATGCAGAACAGCTAATTGTTATGTAAATAGTTTGAAATGGTTATTAAAAAATGGGGTAAAAGGTAAATGGCTGCTAATAACTTTGTTGTTTGCAAAACTTGTGCATATGATTTTAAAATTGACAATTTATATTTACATTTAAAGTTCTGAAATATGATTCATTAAACATATTTGTGGTTGTTTCTACTCGGATTTTATGTTTTTTGTCTGATTTTAGATCAATTGTGTTAATACAGTATGTCAAAATGAAAACATAACTGTAAATTCAGACACGCGAGGTTGTGCTGAAACGGATGATACCAAACAAGGCAAAGTAAATCGTTTTTAAAGGAGAAATGTAGAGGTAAAATCAAAAGTGGTTAAAATGGCCAATTATACCCTGGACCCCAGAGGGTTAAACTTTTTTTTATAATGCGGTAGTTACTTTTAAAGTAATTAATTACTTTTAGAATCTTGTAACTCAGTTACTAACTCAGTGACTTTTTTGAAGAAGTAACTAGTAACTATAATTAATTACTTTTTCAACGTAACTTGCCCAACACTGATCCCCACTGATGCACTGGTGCCTGTGTTTGACTCCAATCAAGAGTACAATCTCATTCATCCTCCATCTTCTGCTCTATAAATTCATCCAACCAGCAACCACCTACTCATCCACTGTACCATTCCTCCACCAGCCCATTCATCCATCTAGGCACGTCTTCTTTTGTTATCAATTCTTCCCACTGAACCATTTCTACACCCATGTCTGCTCACCATCAGTGGTATTGGACTGTAGTCGCCGACAGAGACCCTCTGTGTCTCCATAGCTGTCCTCTATCTTCTGTAGGGCATCAGCCCCTCGGAGCTCCATCAGCTCCCTGAGCTCCTTCACTGTGACCCCAAAGTCTCCCCCTGCATGGCTGCCATCTGCCCTTCCTCCTCCTCCACCCCCACCTCGTGTCCCTTTGGGGTAAAACTCCACAGCGCTGTTTGCCATTTCACCCATTGTGGCTGTTGTTGACATGTCAGTAAAAGGTTTTGTGTGTGTGTGTGATTTTCTTTCTCTCCGTTGTCTACTCAGGCCCCCTTTGGTTTGGATTCTGGAGGGTTGTTCATGTGCTCAACAGTCCTATTTCTGACTAAATGTTTTATTCAAAAATGATTTTATATCAGGGTAATATGTATTTTTTTCACTTTAATGTCTTGGCAATAGTCTCTCACTGCTCCTTTAAATCTCCATAACTGAAGAAGGCTGAAGAGGAGGATGAGGGGGTGAAGGACAGCGAGCAGGGCCACTTCAGAAGCGTGACATCTGAATGAATCCAGCTTTCTCTTCCGTCGTCTCCTCTGCGACTCAACTCTTTCCTTGTTTCTGTCCCCCTCCCTCCAGAGTCACGGCCAGTCCATGGACAGGTGCAGGTACGGTCAGGTGGACCAGCTGTTGGGCTTACTGATGGGGATGAAGTGATGATGAATGGATGGAGAGAGGGGCGATCAAGGCAAAGGCGGCTGATAAATAAGAGACAGGATGTGGAGCCAGTTCAGAGGTAGCTACACCAGGACCTAAGAGCAAGAGAGAGAGAGAGAGAAATTACCAGCCTGTTCTACCAGTCTCAGTCATTGAGATTACATCAAATCATTTCTCGGGGCAAGTCGGCAGAGTCAGATGCAAAACTGGTGCTTTCTATGCAACAGTTAAAAATGAAAGCATTAATCTTAACATAAATAAATGTACAAAGAGGAAAAAGTCACAATAAAACCCTGAAACGCAAAAACCAAAGATCATCACCCATATAGTGTTACGTTCCCCTGAGGGGTCTAGGCAGTGAGGGGGAAGTAACAAAAAGTGTCCAGGTCAGAAAAAGGAGTCAAGGAGGCAAAAGGGTTAAATTAAAGAGTTTTATTAAAGTAGCTCAACTAATAGAGACGGACAAGCCGCTATCACCATTTAAGAAAACAAACAAAACTCAGGCGTTGGTCAATAAAGTAAAACCTATGTCAAAAAGAGAGAGCAGCTCACTAACTGCAAATACACCAAACACTCAGCTCACTAGCTGCAACCACACTAATGGCACTCTGGCCCAGAGCTCACCTTTCCCTGGGCTTAAATCTCTTTAATTACTGACGAGAGTCAGCTGCACAAAAGGGAAAGGTGGCACCTCAGGCAGAAGAGGTGGTGGGACACGCCCACACAGGCACCTTCAGGAGGAGGCCCAGCTAGGGCCGTAACACCCCCTCCCATAAATACAAACCCGTGGTTTGTCACATAATTATGATAACCAAAACAACTAATCAAGTCCGTAACCGTTGCATCACCAAATTGCAGGCTTTCCACCTACCAAACCCCATAGCAACGGTTAGGCATTGCCTGCGGAAGCTGCCAACCCCATCTCAATGGGTTCATAATACGGACTGAGGGTCGCTGCAGACCCTCAAAACAGTGTCCCATGTGATAGCCAGGGCTTGGAACGATCACATGTGGAGAACCCAGGAGGCAGCTAGCAGGCTTTACTGAAACACAGACATGTTTGTTAGCAAGGGATGCAGGTCTGAGGGGTGGTTTTATACATGATCTTTCTCCCTGCAAATCATTTTGAGGACCGGAGAACCACGACTAACTTTTCTCAAAGCAGGCCCTTTTTGCTTTGAGTGGGCTTTCTGTTTGAGTTTCAATTTCAAACAGTTAGCAACGAGGTGTCCAGGTTTGTGGCAGAAGAAACAAAGCTTCGTTTTGGGTCTCGAAACCACAACTTTTTCAGCCTTGTTAGCTGGCCCACTCTTACCTCGCCAAGATGTACTATGGCACAGAGGGGTATCACATTCTACAGCATTTATTTTATGACTTAGGGTGAACTCATCTGCCAGTGTGGCAGCCTGCTGTAATGTGGAAACCCTTTGTTCACTTAAAGAAAGAGCAATACACTCAGGAACAGAGTTTTTAAAATCCTCCACAAGCATGAGCTCACGTAACGACCCCAAACTGTTAACCTGGCTTGCAGAGCACCACCTACCAAAAAGCTTTGCCTTCTCCTGAGCAAAGTCAAGGTAGGACTGACCCTGTGCCAACTCCAAACCTCGAAAATGCTGCCTATAGGCCTCAGGTACAAGCTCATCGGCTAGGAGGACGGCACTTTTAATCTTTTCATAAACTAGGCAGTCATCCCCGGACAGACCAGAACAAGCTTCCTGAGCCCTACCTGTGAATTTACACAGCAACATCACCCCCCACACGTCTTCAGGCCACTGTAATGCAGTTTCTATGCTTTCAAACACACTGAAGAAGCTCTCAACACTGGATTCACAGAAAACGGGAACCAGGTGGATGTTATTACTTACAAACAAGCTTCTAGACACCTGTGCACTAATAGCCGTATCATCCATTTCGGGGGCGGAGATATAAGCTGGGGATGAGCTGTGAGCAGTGTGGGGTGTTCTTGGTGTGTAGTTATCCTGCCTGAAGTGTGGAGTTGTGGAAAGAGTATAGCTGCTTTAGGTGAGAAGTGTGGGCTTGTGGGCCTCGGCAGCAGTAAAGCTAGCTGCTGCTAGTGATAGGGTGAGCTTGTGGGCGCCTGGAAGTGCCTCCTCATGGTGTGGAGTTTTTGTTTGGTTGTTGTGTTCTTTGTTGTTGCAACCTTTTTTTCCCTTTTTCCAAGTGTTATTGGTAAAACGGCGTTGCCGGCTCTTTATGTTAAGATTATCTATAATAAAGACTATTTTATTTACTAAAAACACCTGTCTTTTTTCCTTTCATTCTGTTCTGGACTCATTTGTTACTGGTCCCCTCACTCGCATGCCTAGACCCCTTCGGGCGGACGTAACACTGTTAAAAGATTTTTTAGTACAACTTTGGTAAGCCACACTGCTTGATGGATTGTCAGAGCATTACAGCTGCCATAGTGAGGAGCTTCGCGGAGTAATCTGGGTCCAAAACTCCATCCTGTTCAGGTCCCAAAGTCAAACGAACACTAAGAGTTAAAAACGGTCTAAATTATTTCATCTTTAATAAAATCATCAGCGTTGCTGCTTTATCGGGTGTAACAATTAAGTTTAACATCCATGCATCCATGAAAACAGAATTTATTAAATTTAACGGAGTTAGAAGTTAACAGGAAGTTAGCTCGCTAGTTTACACCTAAACATTTCATACCATGTTCTGACTGAAAGATTTTTGAAACTAATTAAAACGTACAGCTCTGCTACCACTTCCAACATAAATGAAGACAGAAAACTAAACAGCAGTGGCGTTTGCAGGGTTACTGAAGTTGGACTACCTGGTATATAATATTGTGCTATGTGATTGCTAGCGACACAGCTATGTTAGTATAACATTAGCACAGTGAAGCTGGAGGATGAACGCCAACTTTTTTTCCACTCAATAAAAGTTAACGTGAGGGATTCTGGTGGTTGGGGACAAATGCAATCGCATAGCAGGATGCTATACACGGGCCAAACTTCAGTCAGGAGCACAACTGAGATTACTCATCCACAATACGAGGTTAGTTATTAATATACTGCAACAACATGGGAATAGAACAGCTGCGAGAGAATTCAACATTAATGAATCAATGTTACGGAAGTGGAGGAAGCGCAGTTTTTGGCTTTCCCCATATTTCAAAAGTGCTTCATCTCTTTGCTATGACTGTGAGCATAATTTGCAGATGATAATGGTTTTAGCCGCTGCGATGCTTTCGACCAAAACAGGTGCAGCTTGATGACATCATCAACATTGCGCTATCGCGATAGAGCGATATAGTCAAAATCTCTATCATTGGCCAAATTTATATCGTTTCTATCGTATATCATTTATATCGCCCACCCCTACTGTAGACCATTGTCAATCAATCTCGTGCCGTGTCTCCTCTACAGTACAGAATGCGTTCAACTTGTCAAATTTACATAAATCTTCGATCGCTAGCAGTGTGACTCTGAAGTGCTGTACTGTATGTCTGTAAGTTTTCTCCCCAACAAACACAACAATGTCTTGTTTTGCACCGTCAAAGGCAACCGCGGGTGCCTTGGTTTCATTCTATAATACTAGAGTAATTTTTCTACGAAGGTTTGAACTTTGAGTGTTTAAACAAGTGAGAAAAGTGTGAAAATGCTCATGCCTGTCTGAGAAAAGTGTATAATGTGTGTAATGAGGAGTTTTACAGCCTATAATTGTAAAAAATAAAGTTGGCTACTTCGCGGATTTCACCTATCACGAGTTATTTTTAGAACCTAACTCCCGCAATAAACGAGGGACCACTGTAACACTTAAAGGTTTTGCTTTAGTTTGCTATTTATACCCTTGTTATTAATTTAAAATACAGTTGTTGCAGTACATTTATAATGTTCAGCTTCTGACAGAAATAATATTTAAACCATAATTGACCTTATATTTTCACATCTCACTTGAAATTAAAAAGGAAGAGAAAAAGTCATCCTTGTATTTTATATCATGACATATATCAATATGAAAATAGTTAATTGTTTTCCATATCTCCCAGCCCTACTCTGGTGCTTTGTTGCTCAGTACTTCTCTGTCCTGTCCATGTTACTGAGCCACAAGCTGTGGGACAGAGAGCTTTTTATCGAAGATGTAAAATATTGGTCCCAAATATGACACCCCCCTCCTCCAATCCCTCTCTCAGCAGCAAGACATCTCCCC